TTTGGGTTGGAAGAGACCTTCAAAGATCATCTAGTCCCCCCACTCTGCTGTGGGCAGGGACATCTGTCACTGGATCATCCAACCTGACTTTTAACATTTCCAGTGATGGGACATCCATTTTTCTGGGCAAACTGTTCCAGTTTTGGGGTCAGCATACATCACACACCCAAAATACATCTATTTCCAGCTTGTTTAGTTTTTCTGTATTCTGGCCCTTTTGCTCATGACCTCTGTGAGCACCCAGTTGCTTGTCTGGGCTCTAAGGCTCTCTCCTGTGGCACATTACTCTGAAATTCCTTATTCTCTCCCAAGCATCTCAGGCAACTCATGTCTGATTTGCATCAGAGCTCTTGTATCTCTGACGTACATAGAATTCTCTGTGCCCCATTGGTTTCTTTTTGCTGAACAGGGGCCTGTTATTTTTTTTTTTAATTTATTCCCATGGTTGGGGAAGGTTCTCTTTTGCCAGATCACCAAACTGCCAGCATGGAGATGCCAAATATCCGTATGTCCCTAAGCAATTAGTTGGATAAGGTTTGGTGTGTGGTATTCAGGAGTAGTCAGTATCATTTGGTTTTCTCGAATCAGTATAGCTTGTTGTTTCTTGTTGAAAATTACTTTCTGCTCTTAACAACTTCTCTTAAGCACTTCTCAAAACTCTTTTTTGAAGAAAACACATTTCTGATATAGGAATAATAGACCTTCAGTTTTCCAAATTTCAACTTAAATGTCTACTTTTCACATTAAAAAAAAAAAAAAAATTAAAATATTTTGAGAAAGTCTGTCATTTTTCTGAGAAACTTTCTTAAAAAAAAATTTTCAGTTCCTTCCTTTTCTCTCTGACAGTATTCTCTGGCAGGTGGATGATTTTCTGGCTGGGAGGCCTCATACACATCTGTTTTCTTTTTAGCCCGGCGAGGCTTATAGGCCAGGGATTGCCCCTGTACTTGTACAGTTGCTGAAAGCAGAAAGCTGAACTTCTTCACAAAATCCAGTTCAGTCGATTTCATTCTCCCAACTCAACATCTGCTCACAAAAACAGAGGAGTTTTTTTTCCAGTCTCAGATCTCTCTTATTTCCCCATGAAAAGTTACACAGACCTATGGTAGCCAAGGGGGAAGCATCAAAGCTCTCCTCAGTGGTCATCATGGTTAACCTGAAGCTGTGAGCCAGAGCTGCATTTCATGAGCCCAGAGTTTTGCCATGCAGGAGGCTTTGGCTGCAGTGAGGGGTACCACATTAGAGAGGAGCTTCCAGACTCTCAACAGCAAGTCTTGCAATAACTGTTGATCAAATAAAGTTTCTGTTCACAGCACAGAGCCAAAAACTGTTTTTGATTGCAGCCTTGAGGGGTATTTCTTGGCTTGTGGTCAATGTTTTAAGCAATGTGCAGCTCTACAAGTCATTAACAACGTTTGAAATCTCTTCCTTCTTACTATTATCCTCAGAGATATGGAATGAAGACTATCTTCCCCTCATATTTCATTATGATTATTAAGCCATAGGAATGAAGACATGTGCATGAGAGTTGAATATAGCAGGCCTGTTCTAGCTGCGTCAACATTATTTTCAGAAGAAGAGAGTATATTCAGAAATATGGCTAAGTTTTCCTTTTTTCTTCTCCTAACTGTATTTGTGTACAAAAATTTCAAGATTTCACAATACAGCGTTATATATGCACTCTTTTTGAAGCAGTAATAACAAGGTTTCTCACTGCCACATTACCAAGACACTTAAACAAGTCTCTTCATTAATAATCTGTTGCCTATACCTTCAGATTCCAGTGTCTGGTCTCACCACTACTTGCTCTCAACTGCTTTTCCCCCCCTCACTGGATTTAAAGCTACTTTGGATGTCCCATCTGCGCCCCTAGGTCCTACCAGCTCCTATAAAACAGATCCTCAGACCATCTCTGAGAATTAAGGAGAGACCAAGGTCCCACATAGAGGGGAGGTGTAAGCGCTTGCTGATGTGTCCCCACTGCACCCCCGCAGCAGCTGTTTCCAGCTGGTACCACCATTTGCTGCTGTGCAGTGCCAGGCAGAGGTGCTAGTGGGGGTAGGAAGGCGAGGATATCTGCATTAGCACTGGGTTACATGGCAGCAAAAAAGCAAAGCTTGTTCAGCCAGGCTTTGACCAATGTGGCTGTGCTGATCCTAACCCTGGGGGCACCTTGGGCCATGCAGCACCTTCACTTGGCTCAGTGTAGGTATATCTTGAAGTCCTTCATGGCTTTCTAGCTACATGGTTGAGCCCTGTTTTCAAACAGTCATTTATTTGACATGTCCACCCATTTACAATCACATTCAGGCTCCTCCATGCCAAAATTTCATTGGAAGGTAAAAGTTGCTGTTATAAATCATTGCAGACAGTGGGGGGGATTTATTGTCACATCTGAGGTGTACAAGTGTTAGTTCTTTTAGCCCCTTTTTCTGAGAATAGGAAGATTGCAGTGGTGAAGATGTTGCTGTTGCTGGCAGTGGGAACAGACAGGCCAAGCTGCAATGGGTACAGAGCCTGAACTGTCCTCTCCTTCCCAAATCCATTTAAATTTTGGATTGGCAGGTCACTGTGGAGGAACATGGCCACCTGATACACTTGTTCCCTAGATGGAGGGGACTGAAATTTCTCAGGCTTTTAATCTGTCTCATTTTATGAGACACAGCACTACAGCTACCCTTAAATATAAATGAGATGTCTGCATAGCCCATGTGCATTTTCGTGCCGTACAATTTTTCTCCTAAAAGCAAGGTTTCGCCTACTCTGAAGAATGTGCTTTTTTGCTGGACACATCAATTTGCAGATTCTCCCTACTGGCCATGTCCTTTATCCTCTGCTTCCAGGTCGCCGTGGCACTATGTTGGAGTCTGCAGGAGCAGGAACTGTTTCATTACTTGTTCATGTAGCACCTACAAAAATGAGGTTTTAATCTAAACACACATCCCTAGCACATAAATGCAATAAATTGGCATAATGAAAATGGATAAACTGGGAATGCAGCTCATTGTGGAAATAGTACCTAATATGGGAATAATTTCTGACTCTTAAGGGTTCTAGTGTTCCTTTCTGCTTTGCTTTGAGCCCTCAGAAGCATGCTCACTGCAAGATGGTTTGTATTAGGAATGATGATGTTTGCTCAATTAAATTTCAAAAATATCTAAGTGGCAGCCCTATTGGGCCAGAGTCAAGAACTTTTCTTTTTCAGTTTTCTGGTGCTCAGGCAATATTAAAGGTTGGTGACTAGTGAGTTTTCAGTTCATACTTTTAACAACACATTGCTGATGGTAAATATAATTTAATTCTTCAGTCTAGAAGCCTTATCAATACAAATCTGTCTTTATAACCTAGTTATGCTTCACTAGCCAAAGGCAGAGCAGCATTAACTAATAATTCTATAGATATGTGGATGGCTTTTATTAATAGTATAACCAGGCATTTTATCATAGAGATTCTGCTAACTTTGTTAATGTCACTGTTATGGTCCCTAAGAGCAAGTGCTCATAAGCCGAATCATGCTACATTGGACACTGTAGTGGTTTGAACCAGGTTTCCCCCTGAAACTAAGAAAGTGGTAACCCCCAGGGGGTGGTGACCCTTGGGGCTTGACCAATCAGTGCTCCTGCAAAATATAAACATATCTCAGGAGACCGGAAAAAGAAGCAGTAGTACTTTGGAGAAGAAGAGGTGGCCATGTTGTAGAGGCCACGAGGAGAAGGGGCTCTGGCCCCTTGGGGGCCTCTGCCCCCCCCCAGCCCCCGGTTGGGGGGCTGCAGGGACTCAGAACTGGGCTGAGTGCCTGTGGCTAAGAGCTGGGAGAATTTCTCCCGGTAGGCAGCCTTGGGAGACGCTGGGAGCAGACGGAGCAGCAGTAGACACAGCAGCGTCCGAAGAGCAGTGGCAAAGAGCCAACTGATAAGGACCAAAAGGAGCAGCAGAAGCCAGTATGCTGCATGGAAGACACAGAGATGTCTGAAGAGAAGGAAGAAGCAGCAGCAGGAGTAGAACCAAGCTAGCAGCAGGAACAGAGTTTCGGAGGGTAAGAACTGGCTCAAACCAAACCCCCCAAACTCGCTAGAGACCCCTCTGAGAAAGAGGAGGGGGTGGTGGACTGAGAGGAGTCCTAAAGTGCAGTATGCACTGCTGAGAGGAGCTAGGAAGCTCATGGCCTCCTGAGAGATAAGCCAGGACGGCCGAAGGAATGTGTGTGTGTGTGGGGTGATCTTGGCCCCCCCTGCTCCAGCTTCAGAGAAGCTGGCAGCCATCTTTGAGGCAGAGCATGGGAGCTCTGCACAGGGGCTTGATTTCCCCTGAGGATACCAGACCGTCACGGAGACCCCGGTGCTTCGTGATATGACCATGGTGTAGCGGCCGTGTCTGGGGTTACGCAGCCCATGGAAAGACCCCTTGTTTGGAGACGGGGGCCGAGAGAGACTTGGAAACCTCCCTCGTGTGTGCTGGCAGAGAGCCAGCAACTGTTTCTGGTGGAAGAGAAGAAGAGAGCCTGCTGCCTAGAGAGGAAGACCTGCTGCTCACAGACTGGAAGGGGTCTTTTCTTCTTCTTCTCTCCTGGACTTTTATTTGGAGGGAGAAGAGATTTGGCCCATTGTAAATATTATTGTCATGGTAGAGATAGATATAGAGTTAAGATTGTTTGTAATGTATTATAGTATTTATTCACGTGTATAGTCTTTGTAATATATTCCTTCCCCCCATATTGAGTCTCGTGTTTTTGTCTGGAAAACCCATCTCACATGGGGTTGAGATGTGGGAGGGGGGCTAGGAATCAGAATTAGATTTTGGACCTTGCTGAAACCATGACAGTGAGGAACAAGACACACATGCTCCAAAGCAGTTCACTGTAAGAAAAAATTGGATGTATATGAGCAGGATCATGGCACCAGGAGAAGGTAGAACCAAATGTAAAGTATAGCAGTCACTTGGGCTTTTTCCTAAGTAGCCTCATACAGCCCTCAGATTACTATCCATTATTGTTTTTTCAGGTTGACAGCAATGAAGTTGCACCAAGAAGTCCAAGAGCAATCAGGAGAGACTTCAGGACTTCGGGATGGTTGCTTAAGGGGTCGGGAGCACAGATACTGTTCTCCCTTATAATTCCAATTGCAGGGAATGATGAGGGAAGAAACAGGGCCAGCAGATCAATACCTGGCTCTGAGCCTGGTGTCACCGCAAAATTTTGGCATTTTTGATTGTGGGTTGGTTTACCTGACAGCATTGCTGCTGTCTCAGAGTGGGAAAGGAATATTTGCATTGGATATTAGGAAATACTTTTTCACTGAAAGGGTTGTCCAGCATTGTAACAGGCTGACCAGGGAAGGGGTTGAATCACCATCTCTGGAAGTATGTAAATGATGCGTAGATGTGGCACTGAGGGACATGGTTGAGCGGTGGACTTGGCGGTGATGTATTAATGGTTGGTCTTGAAGATCTTATAACTCTTTTCCAACCCTAACCCAAATGATTCTATGATTCCATTCTGACCTATCCACGTGCCTTTAAAAAGCAATACCCAAGATCCTTTCCGTAGGTAGGTCAGAACTTAGTTGTCTTGTAAGCAGTAGCAAACGTTCAGATACCAGTAAGACCATGCAAAGCTGTGTGTGCGTAAAAATGTTGTTAGTTCCCAGAACTTGCTGGTACTCCTCCAGTTCCAAAGCATGCATACAATCCAGCATGTGTAGCAGCTCCCCCCAGGCCTTGTGACTGTATCCCTGACAGATGAAAATGTGTTTCATGCAGGTGGGCTTTCTAATTGTAGCACATTCCAGCAAGGTGCAGTGTTTGGTTCTAGTGCAGCTCTGGGGGAACTGTAGCTGCTCTGTGTGCATTTTTCCATGATGCCATCTTTGCTTTCCATTTTGTCTCGATTCAGTTGTAATTAGGATCATCATAGTTACCACAATACTGCTGCTGCAGAGCTCCCCAAAATGACTGGCCCTGTCAGGGTACCTGAGACAGTGAGCAAAGGTTGTGGGGCCGCTGTCTGCCAGCTGAGGAGAACAAACGGAGCTGCTGGGAACAAGTCATTGTGGACTGAATATAGTTTGGGGTGAAAAGGCTAGCACAGGCACCCGGCTGCCGGCATGCTCTTGGGTGGAGAGAAGCCCTGAATCAGGGAGCACTTTAGTGCCATGTCTTCACTTTGAGGTTTGGGTCTGGCCTTGAGGGCATCTCAGAGCCATGGGAGACATTGAGGGCATTACTGGGGCTTTTTATGTGTGTGCTGTCAATTCATTATGGAATTCAGAAGGCAAAAGTAAAGCTTTTGGCCAAAGAAACAGCAATTGGTGAGGAGGTGCTTACAGCTGGAGAGAACAGACAGAACAAGTATCCAACTGGACAAAACAAGTTGTATATAAACAGTCTCTAAAACTGTTTACAAAGTCCAAAAGAAATCAAAATACAGAAGATTTTTTTTTTCTGTCTGAGAGCAGAGGACACAGATGTTGGTTCTTTTTCCCTTCCATCAGTGTTGGGCAGCAGTGTTGGTGGTGACACTGTCTGTGCCTGTGGTGTTTTGGGGTGCGAGGCTCCTCATATTGCACAAGCACTTCCATCAGTCATATAGCCATTTCTGCAGTCTCTGCCAGGTGCATCAGGAGAAGCATAACAACTACAGGCACTCTCATTTGACTTCTTTCTCTTCTGCCATTCTCCCTGTATCAGAGCACCAAATCATCCATTGCCCTGCAGCAATCAGTCATTAATAAGAACCTTGCTACTGCCAGGGCACTTCTCAAGCCACTGCAGCCAAGGTTACTTCTGGGAAAGGCAGAAAACAAGCTAGGTTTTCAGCTGCTGCAGAAAGGAAAAAATAGCCATTTAAAAACCTATGTTTTTAATTTTACCTGCTACCCAGGGCAGCACTGTAGGGCTGCAGCACTGCAGAGGGATGCCTTGTTAGAAGCTTGTCTTGCCAGTGCTGCCATGATGAGTAAGTAAAAACTCAGCAAATAGGTCCCCTTTTCCCAAAAGAGGGGACGCCCAGAGGATGAAAAGAACTAGCAAGCATTACAGAGTTTGGTGCATGAAGTTACCAATCTCTGGCCAGAGAGAGAAATTGCTTCAGGTGGCCAGAGAATGCTTCATGATTCCTCTGTTTAGCAGAAAAGGAGCCTGCTGAAGTGTCTGTGGTGTGCAAAGCAGAAATAAACGACTATCCCCAGGATCGTCAAGGGAACAGAACCTGCTGCAAGGAAGCATGGTCTGGGTTAGTTGACAAGAAGCAGAAATACCAGCAGCAATTGCCTCCTGCCCTGGGATATCCCTTCTTCTGTCATTTGAATCTCAGTGAAGCAGCTGGACTGTCAACACTTATGGCAAGACCACGTATACAGGACCACAAGTCATGTTTCTGTGGCAAAGCGTGGGCTGGAGGAGATCACAACATGCTGCTGCTGGCTGAGGGAGGAGTAGGCAACATGGAGGAGAGGGGCTAGGATTTCTTAACCTTTACTGTTAGTTTCTCAGAAGGAAGACTGCAGGACCAGCTCCTTAGCTAGCATAAAAAGACACATATCCATGGAGCTGAACAGTGTTCATTTGCTTCACTAGGAAAAGCACAGAAACACAGAAATGTTGGTTGGAAGAGTCCTCTGAAGGCCCAAGGTCCGCCGGGCTCCTGCTTAGCACAGGACTATCACACTACATCAGATCAGCTTTGGCATTGTCTAGCGAAGTCTTCAAAGCCTCCAAACATGGAGAGTGGAAAGTCTCCCTCTTGGGAGATGTTTTCCCTAATGTCCATTCTCCTCTCCCAAGCTCCAGCCTGGACTTGTTGTCCCACATTTGTCCATTTGTTGCTTGCAGGAGGGATTGGGCTCTGTCAGTCCCCCATTGAGGGAGGCATGATTTGCAATAGGCTCCTGTTAGATCACCCTCCATCCCCCTGCCTATGGACTAAACCCACCCAGCTCCCCCAAGCTCCGCTCCTGCTGTGTGCCCTCTGCCCCAGCCATCTCAGTACACCTCTTACTGGGCCTGCTCTCACTTAAGGGTCGAAAGCAACATGGTATGTTGCTGGTGGCTTCTGGAGAACAGCAGCTTCCCTCTCCCTGCCAGCTAATGAGCCTCCTCCTGTGGCCTGCCAGGCACTTTGTCCCATTGGCGATGCCAGCACATGCTGGGCTCAAACAAGGTATGACCCGTAATTCATAGCAACGTGAATACCATCAGAGATTTCATTCACTGCACTGGAGATAGTACAGTAAGCAAGCAGTTTCAAAATCCAATTTCATAGACACAGAGATTACATTAATCTCTTCTAATAGCTAAACAATTCAGTTTTCAAGATAGGACAAAGCATGGGATATTCTTGACAAAACTGGTGCTTCAAAGGTGCCTACATCAGATTTAAAATCCTAACTCCTAAACTCCTAATGATAGAACCGATTGTATCTTTTCAGACAGTAGTGCTGCAAAACTTGCATTTAATCTCCTCTTTTTATAACACGCTGTAGCTGCCTGAGCTTGCCTGTGGGAAGCAAATGTAGATTGTCTTTGCCTTCAAATACCATATGAGGAAACTTACGCAGCCCTCACCAACTGATCTTGGGGGCCTGTGGAATGATAAAAGCTCAAATTATCAAAGTACCTGTAAACTGCCTTCTGATTTCTAGCTGGAGTACCTCCCTGAATCTGGACCCTTTGATTTAAGGTAGCTGCTTTCTTTCACCATGTCTCAACAGGCAGTAAAGGGCATAGCTTTAATTCCTGTTGGCTCAGTTGCATTACCTCAACATGACTGAAAACCCCTCTTCACCTCCAGAAATGCAGAAATGAATGTGGATCTACATTGGAAGCTTCTGCCTGTGTACTGAGTACCTTGTAATATACAGGGATGTTTCCATATTGCCAAAAATATTGGTGTGATTTGCTTTTCTTTTTGGCACTGTTTTGCTTGGAGAACCCAAATTATCTGTTCCGGAGAAGGCACTATTTATTGAGCTAGACTGCACATTTTCAGAGAATTTTCAGGTCTTGTGGTATAGCTGTATCCATTTTGGGCTGATTTCTAGTGCTTGTGTTGTGATTTAGGCCACTGACAAATAAGCTCTGGCAAATGATGGTGAGGTGACTGACCCACCCAGCTGTTTTTATTGCTCTGCTGGCAAAGATTACGGTCCCTGCAGCAGAATTGGCAGAAGACAACATATGTCCAGGGCAGAGCTGCTCCAAATGGCATCTGAGTTGAAATCTCCAAGGACATGGGATTAGACTAGACAGAAGACTGTGAACTAGAGATATTCAGATGTGGTCTATAGTGGTTTATGCCCACCAAAAACAGCACTGCTTCTGTGCCTCAGGTCCTTACAGCTTCTACCCCGTGTGACTGTCCCCTCTTTGCACCAGAACTGGCAATCATCTGATCCTAATAGGAGATGATATAGACAACTCAAGCCAGCCAAATGATTCACCTAGAAGGTGTGGAGGGGACTAAAGCACCACTAATTTCTATCAGATTAATCATGATACCTCTCTCTCAGATAATAGTAAAAGTGTCCTTGTGTCTCAGCTCCACTCTAGCCTTTGGTGGTAGAGTGGTATCAAGCAACAGAGGGTGATAATGTCTTCATCTGCTCATTTGTTTTCCAACCAAACAATAATCTGAGGGCAGAGACTCCCCCAGATGCTCCTGTATGGCCAGCTAGCAAGGCCTCTGCTGCCAGGGATATTATCTCTTATCCTTTTGGGTAATCCCCATTCTGCCATGGGAGTAACCTGCCGTAGTGGTGGCCCAGCTGTCAAAAATGGAGCTGGCATTGGCCCTTGTCTCTTTCCTCTCATGAGTCAGAGAGTGGCTGGCCCGAGGCTGCCCTTACACCCTGGTGGAACAGCGAGCAGGAGCCACAGCAGGAGCAAGTTAGAACTGACTGACCTGAGCAATATTTCCAGGCTAAAACACACGAGAGTTTTCCTCTCCCTGGCCTGTTACTGACATGGCAAAATTCAGTGGGAAAACAACTGGGCTTTAAATATATAGTGAGCCTTTCCCCACCCATTACCACCTAACTGATAAGCTGCTCCAGGCTATCTTGTTTATGAGCGTTTAATACCTCTTAGCATTTGTGTTTGCCTTGAAGCTACAGGCAGCTATGTGCTGTACTGTGCTGAATATTCGTGCCATAAGTACAAACACGTTTGAAGATCTGCTTTGAAGCAAACTTGACCCTCTGCATTCTCTCCCAAGACTCCTGAGGAATATTATGCATCACTATATTCAGAGCAAAGCCTTGAAGGGCAGGGAGAGAGGATACACATAGGAATAGTTAGGAACAGGAACATATAGTCACATATCTATCGCATAAATGCTTCCAGCAGCACTTCAGACATCAGTTTGCATAAACGAATTTGCAGGACCTCATTCCTATAAAGCAGCTTCTGCTGCATACAGATCTTTTAGGCTCACTGGCCTAAGATCAGGCTCACTATCCAGATTCTTGTTGCCCTCAAGAGCTATCGCCTGCAACCCCAATAATTGCCCTGAACCAAAAATCTCAGAGTAAGCAGAGATAGTAAAACCTGAGCCATGTGCATGGATGGCTCTTGTGCACTCATATTCCTTCTGTCAGCTGCTTATAGGGGTTGAAAACCTTCAGAAGGCAGATACAAGTGACATGAAATAGTCTGAGTTAAAAACTCGACTCTGAGTCAAAAACTCAACTCAGCATCAAAAATTGTGAGATACCCCATGATACGGCATGCCATATGTAGAGTAATGGCGAAGCTTAAATGGCTTCTGCCTCAGGCAGAATGCAACAGAAAACCTGACAGGGAAAGGTAAGATGGTAGCAGTGAAAGCAGCCAGGATTGCGTGGTGATTGCTGCATGGGAGGTTGCAGCCAAGACTCTAAAATTACTTAAACCACTATTGTATACTTTTGGGTTTGTTTCTTCTTTTCTTACGTTTTGGAGGAGAAGAGGGTGTGTCTGGAAGTTCAGATGCTAGCTTGGGACTTAGGCCATATATATCCAGGTTTATGCCTTGCCAGTGACTCCCTTCGGTAAGCTGCTCCTGTCCTTCTGCCTTTTGCCCCTCATTCTCCAAGGAAAAATGGTACTCCTGCACCCCTGAGATGTATGAGATTAATACTTGTGAGGCATTCAGGTACAGTACAAGAGAGAGCCATATCAGGCCCTGAAGAGGTTTGCTCTGCGTTACCTTTTGACTGTAGACCATGGACAGCCAAGGGGATCCTTCAGAGTGCTCAGTGTAGCTGACTTTCAGATGCAAAGCAGTGTTTGACCTGAGCTACACAGGAACTGATGTTGAGCTGTAAATCTCTCTCATTCACTCTCCAGAACACAATCTCTTAATTCTGCTTCATTTCACACCCTTCACATTTCTTGTTTAAACATGAAAACTATTCGTATCTTTATTTATATCATTCATTTTCTTTTGCTAGTAACCACTCTTTTGTCTTGCCTAATTCCACTTCATCTGAAACCGTTCTTCCTCCTTTCCTCCTCATCTATGAGCTCAGGTGGGAACCACCCATCACTGGGACACCTGCTAGGACTGTGCGGGCAGGTAAATCTCAGGATTTATAGATCCTGCTTCCCAGCTCTTGCCTCCTGCTCAGCACCCAGGTGAGGCTGAGGTGAGAGGTTATTCCTTCCATCTGTGCTGTGGTTGCTGGTTACAGAATAGGCCGACGTGTTCTGAGCAAGGAGTTGGTGAGCAGCTTGTTTCCTCCATGGACTAGGCCTCTGAGAAGCACTGTGGTCTGAAACTGGAGCTTGCTGGAGGGTTAGCTGGGGAGAGAAGGAGGGGCAGGGGCAGTAGTATGGAATCACTGTGAATCCGAGCCTTTAAAGGTCCTGTCTCTGCCCTCTTCTTATTTTTTTTCCTTTCCCAATTTGTAAGAAAGGTCTAGCAGCTAAGAACCTAGGCTGGGACTCACAAGACTTACTTGATTGTGCTGGTTTAAAAGTTAACCAGCAAGGCAAAATGAACTCAATTCAAAAGAGAGATTTATAAGTCAGAATAACAATTTATTAAAATAATGCAATAAGTACAATTATACAGACAGACAATTGGTTTTAATCCACAAAACCCAAATGTACAAACCCAGCACCCCGGGGTATGAACAAAAGTGGTGTACCTTGGCCCACCCCCCGAGTCCAAAGCAAAGGGAGAGGGAATAAACCTGCTGGTGGGAGAGCTGCTGCAGTCTGGTCAGAAGTGGTGATTGCAGTCCAGTCGAGGGTGGTGGTCTCAGCCTGGTTGGGAGCAGCGGTGGTCTGCTGTCTTCCTCTGGGTCCCACGAGAGAGAGCCCCAAGGCTCTGAAACTCCCAGTTATATACTCTCCAGTTCAGGTGGGAGTGCTCAGTCCCTCCCTCAGAGTAGGGAATTCCATAAAAGGGCATGTGGATGCTCAGTCCCTCTTATCAGAGCGGGGAATTCCATATAAGGATATCAGAGCAGGGAATTCCATAAAAGGGTACAGGAACATCTTCCCACCTTGCAGGCCTCTACTGACAGCAGTTTTTGGGAAATGGCATGGAGGCTATAGAATACACAGTTTTGGGTTACACCCATCCAGGGATGAATTGGTCCCAGCCGTTCTAACCAGGACATTGATTTAGTTTGATTTCTTTGGTTTAGATATGTGAAACAGCATTTCACTCTAGGGAGCAGGAGTCATCAAAGGCAGGAGTGGGAACACAGGAATAGAGCCAGTAAGGAGCTGACCACATCTTCGGCAAGAAGCTGTTGACTGACTCAGCTATAACATGCAACTACATCTGCCAGCCGGTGGGGCCACCCATGTTGTCATCCCATGGTCCTGTGCCTTCTTGTTAACAGTCTTTTCCTTCCCTTGTAGCGGTGAAGCTTGGGACAATGAAAAAGTCTAGTAAGGACTGTAGCCATGATCACAAAAGTATCTATTTGGGAGCCTGGCAGCTGCTTGCTGTACCCCTCTTTACTCAGTACCCCTCTTTACTCAGCACCCCCTAAAGTGACCTGAGTGGAGAAAAGAGGCCATTTTGGAGGACAGCCAATTACTGGGCCTTCTCTTGAGTATTTGTACATCAATGGTGTAGGTAACAAATCTTGTCAGAGATGGTGGTGCCTGCAAGTCATGTACAGCAGGTTTCCTTTAGGTAGCAAGGAAATTTGTGATGTTTTTGTTTGACATCTACAGCCTCTGTGGAAAGAAAACAGTGTGACTCTTGCCTTGCATTTGCAGCTAAAACCTTATCAAGGGCAGAAAAGAAAATGCACCTCCATTTTTTTAGTCTTCTGCAGTACAAAGAGTGTTTTTCTAGTGTAAATTGAGAGGCCTAGGGCTCTGTGGGAGTGATCACCTACTAGAAATTTATTTTGCATGGCTGTGAGTGGCTCAGCAAGATAGGATGGTAATAAAGAAAGGGGCCAAACCTCCAGATAACTCTGAAAGAGTGAAAGAACCCAGCAAATGAGTCCTCACATGCAATCTCTTGTTCCTTCAAGACAAAGGAAACCTTTCCAAGGGAACTGACACCTACTGATAGTGTTTTGTGTTTTGTTTTTTAAAGAAAACCCAAGTTATGCTGGGAACTGTGACCTACTCAATTTTAAGTCAAACCAAATAAATATTCTTGGAGTTTGCCTTTTATCTGTTCAGTACCAGCTTTTCTGTGCCCAACATGAGTCTTTTGAGAAATCCTCTAAGAATATGGAGGTCAGGAAGGCAGCTCCCAGGCTCTGTTGCCTTCACAGTGGCTGACGAAACACATAAGAGCTCAGGCACCCAACCACCCCACATCCCAACAGGGCAGCACTCCATTTTTCCCAATGCTAAGTGTTCTCTCTGCAGGGTTTCCTGGTCAATCTCATCTTTCAAGGGGGGACTGTGTCCAGTTCCCTTTTAGAAAAGACAATTTTTAAAATTGTCCTTGTGTGAAAGAAAATACTGTATTCACCAGCAGTGAAAACAGAGGGCTGGGTGCAGTCTGGCCTGTGCTGTGCTGATGTGATGAGGCTGGGCCATGAGTCCAGCAAGTTCTGCTCATTTCTACACTGTGTTGTGGTAAGCCAGCATATACAGTATTTTTCCTTTACCTTAGAGCTTCCTCCCAGGACCCTGGCAGTAATTTGATTCTGCTTTGATAAAGCGTCATGCAGACACAACATGGAACTGTAGTCCTAATGACCTGTGTTATTTGAAAATCAAATGACACTTTCTGAGGAGGAAGTTCTTTAGTTACAGTGTTTTCCTGAGATAATTATATCAAGCTAGATGATTACCCTCCCCTGTAGTTTCATTTACTGCTCACTTTGTCTAAACTCTTGAATGCTATTGCACTACATTCTTTTGTCCTGCTCCACCCCATCATTTCAAAATAAGTTGCCTGTTTGTTTAAAAGTACAGCAAAAACTTTAAAGTCTTGAGGAGAGAGATACCATGTATTTACTGTTATGACGTACGGTTTGCCAGTTTGATTTCCACTGCCTTGTTGCACCAAATTGAGAAGCTCTTTGACTCTTCATCTCCCCTGTCTTCTAAACTAGCAAGATATAAACAGGAAAAGGGGGTGACACCTTTTGTTTGATATTGTTTGACTCTCAAGTCAGTTTGGGCTCTGATACTAATAACTTCCTGTTTTGCTGTAAGTCTTCAGACAAGTGAAGAGCCTGCATGTGCATTCACTTTTTAGCCCGAACTTAAGCAACTACATGACTAGCATGTTCCCAGGCTCTGGGCTACAAATTCCAGTTTGCTGCTTACCTCCAGGCCAAATTTTTAGAATTAGGAGTCAAATCGCTGAAAATTGGGTGCCTAAACTCACAGTTGGTTACCAAAATGCAAATGACCTGACAGCCACAACAGCCTGCTGACCCCTATAAGAAGCTTGGGACTTGAGAGGGCAGAATCTATACAAATTAGACTAATTTCATGTTTGAACTCAAATAAGGATCCTAATTTGAAATGCTGGGCTGCTACGGATGTGCTCAGAAGCTAGAAACAGAAAAGAGGATCTGCAAAAATATGGAGAAAGATGCATTTGTGTAATATCACTTGTGCAAGATGCTTGTGAAATGTAATATGTGTTGCATTGCATTGTTTTTCACAGACGCTTAAAATACCGAGACTTTTTCTTTTCCAGCTATCTAAATAACTTTCCCTGTGAACTGAACTGCTTCCTCTGGATAATAAACTGTTTTTCTACCTGCTGGAGAGGTGGAGTCCCCCTGAATGTACTGCTGCTCCGCATAACCAGGAACTGTCTCCTGAACACAGAGTAAGACAGAACAGCTTGGACTTAGCAGTCCTGTGAGATTTACAAATCAAACCAGCTAATCAAGATTTAAAACAGCTCTGGATTGAAAAGACTAGCAAGTGGTCCAGCTGTGAGTTAATTCATTAGTTGCAGTAAATATCACTAGAAGAGCTTGTCAAAAGGAAATGTGAAGCAGCTGAAAAGAATCATCCTTAAAGTGAATGTCAGAGGCTTTTGCAGCTGTCATCCAGTGGACTGGAGATTCCAGGCATTGAAGAGAAAATGAGGGTGAAAGAAATAAAAATTTGAGTACAGAGGATAAAGTACTAGTTCCCACTGAGTGATTATAAAGGAAGCAATCTTACCACTACAGGGACCTAATTAGAGACTGAATCTCACAACTGTCCAATGTCTCCTCCAGGACTCTGAGAAACCCAAACTAGCTAACGCAGTCCACTTAGACCAGCAGCACTTGGAGGCTCTGCTGCTTCAGGGCACACTGGAAAGCCGCATTTATGTAGCTGTGGGCATTTTCCAGTGTTCTTGTGTCCTGTTCAGCACTCACTTAGAACCAAAGCAGCAACATTGTTTTCTTGCCTGGCCAGCACAGCATCATCTTGGTCCTACAGAAGGCAACAATGGACTTCTACTGCCACATACCTGAGTATCCCTGAGGAAAGGCATCAGGACCCATTGTACCAGGCAAATATAAGAGTTAGTTGTCAGCATTAACAAAAGAGAATTTCATATTTCTATGACTGATCTGATGAATCTTTTCTTGCTCCCCAAAATGTGTAGATCAGGTATGAGTCTCAGGCCTTCCTGGAGTCACCAGTGCTGTCAGTCAGGGCTTGCGTGTATCAATTCACTTAAGCCTGGGTGCAGGGCTCAGCTCTCCCACCTCGATCCACGTTTAATGTAACTCTGTCCCCACAGAGTGATTCTGTGCAGGTGAGGCTTCAGGGAAGTGCAGGGATCTCTTCCAGTATTACTACTACTAGCAGTCACATTTTTCTGTAGCAGGATTTTCCAGGCATAGGGAAGGTCTGTGCCTTCTGAGACCATTCAGTGCTCCTGGGAAGAAGAGGGATAACTGCTCAGTTTCGCAGATGCATCATGTTTGCAGGGACAGTGGTTTAGAGGTCTCTTCTGAAGCTGGGAGGAGGTAAGTGACCTGCCCAGAGAGAGCTCAGCCAATATCTGACAAGGACATTTTCATAACTGAGATAAATAAACAGATGCCTTTTTTGCTCTAGGGAAATAATTTCTTCTGTGCTACTAGCCTGAGACCATTTGCTCGGCTTAGCCTGTGTCTTTACCATATGAAACAAGCCTGAACCATTTCATTTGAGGTTATTTATTTGGGTCAATATGAAACATTTCTGGCATTTCTTTTCCATTTTCTGGCCTTTATGTGTTGCTGTCTTCACTCCTGTGTATATGTTTTCTACTCTAATATCTCAGTTCTCCTCTCTTGTAATATTTTAAATCCTTAATTGCCTGATGCTGCAAATGGAGAGTGTTACCTTCCATGACCACTCTGACCACAATGACTTCCTTTGCTTGACAAGCTGATTAATTTGTCAAGTTGAATGTTTAAGTCTGTCTAGAGTATCTCTGTGTATCTTGTGCAAGATTGCAGTTGCAAGTTTGTTCCTTATTGGACATGCGGTTTCTTCAGACACAGAATACCTTTGAGGGGCTTTTCTTCCCCCACTTCCCTACTGAGAGTGATGCTCCTGCAGTTTATACCAATGATCATATCCTGCATGTCCCCTAGAAGAGGGTAGACAGCAGGTGCAGCATGGAAGCCATAACATCAGCAGCACATTCAGATTGTACAGTGGATATAATTGAGGGAAAATAGCAAAACTCAAGTAAGTTAAATGCATTTTATAGCAGTTCCTGAGGGAGAACAGACTGCATTGTTTGTGAGCTTCAATCCAGGTCAAGCAGGCCGGATCTTCCACAGAGAAGTTGCTGACTTTGGCCCCAAAATGTCATTGTTAAGGTAAGAAAAATATCCAAGTTTCTCTTAATTTTTCCTAGTTGGTACGTTATAAAGGCATTCAGACCACTGTAGACATAAGAATTCAGGAAACAACAATAAGCAACACAAAGAACAAAAAACAGTAGGTACTTCCTGAGAAGTTTGGAAAACTGACTCTTAATGCCACTGAGGGAGGGTAAGTCCTAATAGCTACAGTAGCCACATGTCACCTGGGACCAGAGTGTGAATGATTCTCTTGTAATATTACTTGGTGAATGTCTCAACATCTTGAGCTCATTGCAGAAGAGAAAAGAAAAAGCTGGCCAGTGTTATTTTCTGGTGGCACTGTAACATTAATTTCTCTAACCCTCTGTGGTGGTATCCAACTGTCTTGGATATCTGAGCAGGCAGGTCAAAGGAAAGCAATGTGTAGACTTGATTTTCGAAAACACCTTTTTCTAGTAAGTGTGAACTTATTTTCTTTTAGGAATAATATTTTTTCCTGGCACATTGTAACAGAAATAATAAAATAAACAAAAGCCTGGTATACTTGTAAGATGAACCTCAGAGCTATACCAGGCAAGAAGCTGTCTCAAGGCAGCCTTTGTTTCCCCAGGGACTTGCACTCCAGCCACTCCCTGCCCTGGGCTAGTGTGCTGGGATGCCCTGGCCTGGCCCATCCTGGGCTCCCCCCATTCTGTAGCTCTGAGCCCCACCACTTCCTGTCCTTGGAAAGGCAGAGGTGGTGGGGCAGGCTCCCAGCAGCTACAGAGGAGCAGAGGGTCTCCATCAGGGTATCTCCTTGCAGGAGATGAAGAAGACATCTCTGCCATAGGGCTGCAGCAGGGGCAGTCACAGGCTTCCCTCTGCAGCCGGCAGCACTCTGCTTTTTCCCATCGTTTATTATCTGATGTCTGTTTTCGGCTGTTTTGTGCTGGCATTTGGGACACCTCCTCCTTGTGGGCTGCCGAGGATGGTGGCAGTGTCCTCACGCTGAGGGTATTGGCCCCGGCCCTGGGCACAAATCATCCATCCCCACTGCTCGCCTGACCCTCCCCTTGAGACCTACTTTTGCTGGGAGAAGCAAGGTAACCTCGCCACTGAAAATAGCTGGGATGCCGGCCAGTGGAGATTAATGGCATCATTAACGTTCCCAGTTTATTTATAGGCTTAAAAATGCCTCGGACCTGCAAACTGAGCAGAGTCGTTCTGTGTAACACAGGGACTGACAGGTCTTCTGCTTCTACCTTTCCCCTTCCTACTATTTCATTCTGATTGCTGGGACTGTAAAACCTCTGGAGCAGGGACTGTCTCTCATTGTGAACCTACTCTGTAAACCTTCCTAACTGGGGGGATGCACAGAGATACTTTTTTTTTCCAAGAATGCTGTATTTGTCTGGTCTCCTTCCTCCACCAACTCCTGTGCACACTGTGTCCCATGGCCTTCTTTGGGAAAATTATCTTTTTGATGAATTCCTGAGGCACGAGCTGAGCAGTTGTCACAGGAATTTTCTGTGATTTTCTGCCTTCGGTTTTAAATTATGAGCTCTGTAGGAGGAGCACTGAGATTCTCATAGCTGTGGAGAGCACCTAGGATATGTAGGGCCCTAGTGAGACATGCAGATGCAATTAATGATCATGGAGGTCTTTCAACAGGAGCCAGCAGAGGCAACCCAGCTTCCAGGTCCCCTAGGAACCTCATGGCACTGGCAAGAAAAGAAAAAAACACTTCAGGTGTGTTGGCCCCAGAAGAGGAGTTTTCAGCACATAATGTGTGGCTGCACTGCCTGGCCTGTTTCCCAGCACTTAGTGAAAGGTAAGTGAGAAAGGAGACTTGTTGTCAGCAGGCACAAATCCAAGGGATTGGCTGTGTGACTGGTAGATGGCTTCATGGGTGGGAAAAAAAAAGTAAAAATGCCAGTAGGGAGCCCTTCCACCCAGAAATATGGAGCGCCAGCATGGCAGCTCATGGAGGTGATGTCGCTTCAGAGGACAGCCAACCCTGCAGTTTGCTGTTGGGTTTTTGTTGTATCAATCTGAGAAAACTCCCGTGTCAGTCTCTCCTTGGCCTTTTTCTTCTAGGGCGTGAAATAAAGAACGGGCAGAGAATCACTCAAACCACTGTTGTCTTTTTTTTCTCTCTGGGCAATGAGAATACTTCAGAGCAGAGTGAAGGAGCCCAAAGTGGTAGAAGGAGGATTTCTCTGCCATGGCCACAACAGGTGAAGCCACAACCCTGGGAGGCCCTGATCCACCAATATCTGGTGGGTTTGAGGTATCTCAGGGCCTTGCTTTCCCCTTCCCAGCTTTCCCACTTGGGTTCTTGGCTCCAGATCTCCTCCATCTCCCCTTGGCCATGCCCCAGCTCTCCCCTCTGGGGAGGACAGTGCCTGCTCAACATCTTGCTGTCCGTGGCTGTTAAATGGGACCATGATGTGTTCAAGTGCTCAAGGCCAGGTTGGATGGGGCTCTGAGCAACCTGATCTGGTGGAAGGTGTCCCTGCCCATGGCAAGGAGATTGGAACTACATGATCTTTAAGGTCTCTTCAACCCAAACCATTCTGTGATTCTATATAGTCCTTTGAAGGACAAAAGCATGAGTGCAGTTATTCAGCCATCCAAAGATCCTAACTGGGAGAGTATTTTCATGTCTGATATACATGAGATCCTGTATCATTTTAAAGGATTCAAGGAAAAGTCAGGTCATGTGCAACATCTGAGACAAAGCAGGGAAAAGGTAATGTCTAACTGTATTTATTTATTCTAGGAAAGAGAGATACATCTTATATAGTTGTTTCTCATCTAAACTCCTGAGCACCTAACCAGAAAAGTCAGCACAACTTTCTCACTTACACTGATGTCAGACTAGGGGAGTGAGTCTTGTGGCAAAAGGGACCATCTGCATCTCAAACTAATTACCTGCTTTGAAAAGTGAATATACAAAGTGGTAGGTTTTTTTAACAAGGTGGCTAAGCCTCATTTCAGCTCTGGGACAGCTATCTCCTGGACGTCAGTGCTACACAGTTTCTGTAGAATTGCTCACCCCTGATACAGAAAGCAAGAGCTGGGATTTTTTTCCTGTTTCAATGGGCTACACCCAGTTGTAACCATATTTAACCTTCCTTTTTCTTTCTGCCAACACTGGGTGGCACTAAGTAACGCCTTCTGAAGTTTTACAAAATTGACTCTAAAAACTTGAATCACACTGACTTGGCTCCACTCTGTCCTGACAGCAAATGGTTTTGTGTGAGAAACTTTCAATCATATGGTTGTTGCATAGAAACATCTGACTTGTATGGCATGTTTTGTACTTCTCTGGTTTGTTAGGTTGTTAAAGCCCCTCTGAATCTCTGGCCTCACAGTCTGGTAAAGGTTCAATGTGCTGTTGGCCTTGAAAGCCACATTTTCTGTACTGAGTTGAGAATTGATGGAATACTTGAAAATAACTGTGCTTTATGCCAGAGGTTTAAATAAATCTGACTCAATGGTTGAAGTTGGAAAGCACCTTTGGAGATTGCCTAGGCCAAGATCTCCTCTGCACAAACAGGGTCAGCCAAAGCAGGTTAAACCAGATGGTCCCCAGAGGGTTCCAGGAGTCCCTCACCAGCCCCAGTGTCTTCTTGGCCTGGACACTGCCATGTCTGCTGGCTTGCACAGCCAGCTGCACACTGTAAAAGTCCTTCTAAAATAAATCGGCTTTAAAAGAAGTACACCTACAAACAAGTGGCTTTCACCCCCACTGGCTGTGCTCTACCTACAAGTGCCAAGGCTTTCATTTTAGCAGCCTGTTATGGCTCCAGTGGGCTTTGGGGGACCCTGGTGACTGATGCTGGTGCCTATAGTGATGGAGGGGGGAAAAAATCAGGGCCAAGTAGTTTGTCCTCAGAGGACATCCCAGGTGTCTGAGCAACCTGGTCTAGTGGGTGGCATCTATGACCATGATGGGAGTTTGGAACTAGATGATCTTTAAGATCCCTTCCAACTCAAGCCATTCTATGATTCTGTGATTTGTGGCCATTCTCAGCTAAGCCACCTGTAAAGTCCCACTGCCATGTCGTGGTAACAAACATTAGCGTTACTGTGTTTATATTTGTCCCTAGGAAGGCGGTTAAAATATAAAAGACAGCAGATGGCATAACCTGATGGGGTCGTAAAGATTTGTGTCCTGAAAGCAAGGACATAGAAACACCAATGATAGTAGTTAAAAATCCTTGATATGGAAACTAAGTAATCAAATCTTGACTTGGCCATGCTGAGGGCAGTGGGAGAGGTGTGGCTTAGGAAGAAACTGCCCACAGTGAGAGACAAAGTCTGCTGATGATCCCTGGTGTCTCCAAGCAGAAGAGCAAGCAGAGGGTAAGACCAGCTGGTGGCTACATTACAGCCAGAGCAGAGATGATCATTCAGAGATGAAGCACTACCTACAGCTTCCCTTTCCGCTCCTGTTGCAGTGGGAAGGGGATACAAGTAGATCAAATGATTTCTGAAGAACAGTTTGTTCATTGAAAAACACAATTTCTGTTTGAGCAAAGCTATCTGACAATTGGTGTGTAATCCATTCATCAGAATTAGCCCAGAAAATTAAAAACATCAAAATTACTTGCCTTTTTTTTTAAACCTTTTTTGAAGCTGATCTCACAAGGAAGCCTCAGCTGGAGTGAGGATTTACCTGATGTGCTACATCTTCAGGCTGTGGGACAGCCTGCAACAGGGCTCTTCTAATCCTCTTGCTTGGGGTATAAGGTTGTCTAAATTACACTGTTCATTGGACCAGGTAGAGCAGAAATATCTGCGGGGCTAAACTGCCTGATCCAGAGAGCTGCCCTGGGATCTGGGAGGTAGTGGATGGGAGTAGTTGTGTCAGAGTAGACTTGGCTGCTCAGGGCCAGCCAACATGAAGTAGGTTGGCCCTGACTGCATGACATGGCACTTGACTCCAGCTTAGCTTGGCCTGGTGGGTTGTGCCTATGGACCTAAGAGAAAACTAATATTATTTTAGGTTTGGTGTTTTCTTGTCCCAGCATAATATGCCCAGGATAATGAAGACAATGCTATAGCTCACCAGTGTTGGGATTCCATGGGGCGTGTTGAATGCCCTGAACTGAGGAATGAGAGCATTCAGGAGAGCTGGAGGATAGAAAGGCTGAAGGGACCATGCTGGAGGAGCATAATGAGGGAAGGGAGACAGAGCTTGTCCATGTCACTCTTGAAAGTTGTCCCTGGAGTAGCTATGCCCAGAGCAGCGCTGCTTGGTGGATGGAGGGAGCTGCTTGTCCAGGTCCAGAGGACAACATAGGTATGTGCTAACCAACATGGTGGGAACAATCAAGGATGAGGGCCCACAAGTCAGGTGGGGAGTTGTTTCTGACATTGTAGGTGCATCTGACAGGCATATCTACATCACCAGCAAGGAAGAGATGGACTCCAGCCCTCGACTTATCCTTATTCTCTGCTGGGCTCTCTGCTGGCCTCTCTGCTAACTCTAAGCTCTGATTTGGATCACTACAAATAACTGTTTCCAAGACAAATTCTATTGTCAGGAAGCAAGCTCTAGGCATGGTGCCTGTGAGCTCAGCAGTGCCATTCTGCCCTGGCCTGCTTGTGTTCAGCAGCATAGGCACAGCCAGGCTAAGCCAGTCTCCTGCCTTGCTCTCCTCTCTCTCAACATGCCTCAGGTGCTGCCTGGCACACTGGGTATGATACTGCTTCTAGGAAACCTTTTTTAAAATATTTTTCCATATGAGAAACAGAAGGGGGTTGAATTTTCATCCTGTGTGCTCTGAGCCTATGTTGTAGGCAGTGGGTTGTAGTGGGTGATAGCTTCTCTTCATAGGCCTTGGGGCTGAGGACGAAGTCTCCTTGGGAATCTGCCCTTCCATTCCTGTGAGGGTTTTGGCGTTGACCTGTACCACGCATTTTTAGCTTTCAGTTTGACTACCAAACAGAAAATCAATTATTGGCAGATCTGCCTTGTCAAATAGACAAAGGCCTAGAGAGGCAGAAGCTCTTTGGAGAGAGGCCCTGGCTTGTCAGGAATCACGAGGCTTTGCACAGAATTCAGACAGAGGATGAACCTCACTATCCAAGAGGGTAACTTGAGGAAAGGGAGTTGCACAGGATTTTTCTGTTGCTGTAGGAACCTTTACTGCAATTCAGCTCATGTTGATTAACCCTGGATGCTAGATTCTTAAAAAGTGATTAGTGAGATCATACTGGAAATAGAAACAGATGTGCCATCTGTTATGCAGTGTATGGGGTTTAGAGGGAGGTTTTTCTGAAACATAGTTGATCCCAACACTGAAATGAGACTTCACTGCTGTCACCTTCCCATTATGTCCCCAGAAGCTAAACATCCCTTTGAACGTATGAAGAGAACTGGTGGAATTTGCTGTCAGTGGACTGGTTCTGTAGTTCTGGCCAGTGAAGAGGTTGAGAGCTGAGCTCAGCCTTTAGAGAAAGCCACGATATAGGACTTTGCATCAGAGACACTTTCCAAACAACTGAAATCCCAGATCAGGAAATCTGGGCTTCATTCTGAACTTGTGCTTTTGCCTCAGACAATCTTTTCCCTTAGTGAAATGTAAACACTGAAAGGTTAGAGGTGGTTTTTTTCAATCCTTCTGCAGAGTTGTTCCTGTGCTCTAATCCTGCCCCCCAAATACTCTCCCTTTATACTGTAGACACTCACTGCAGGTCTCAAGGATTATCAGAAGCACTAAGCAGCTCTTATAATTGTAATTGCAATTATGCTTCTACAGCTGTGATTGTCCACAGCCGTGCTTTCTGTCTTCCTCCAGAACAACGGAGGAAGGCTGAAGAAGGCAACACATCCATATGTGCTTTCCTAAATGTAATCTGGCATCCTTCTGGCTTTTCTAGCCTCTGAAGAGCAAAGTGCACATTTGTGCTGTTCATAGCACTGCTGCCTGATAACTAATATCTGCTCTAATAGGTGAAGCATTGCAGCACCTGGGGAGAACAGGAGCGGGTTCCCTTTGATCCGCAGGGCACCTCTTTCAGCACAGCTGTGCATCCAGGTAAAAAGCTGTCAGGATTCTTGTTTTCTTCTTCCTTTTTTCAAAGTAAATCTCAAGTCTCATACTCATGGCCTCTGGCAGGCCTCCATGTACAAATATAATTACTATTTATTATTTATACAGGAACAGAGAAAGGCCATTGCTTTATGACATTGTAATAAAATGGGTCACTGCTCCCTGTAGGCTTTGAAGCCCAGGACATGATCCAGTGGAGGTAAAAACTAGGACTCCAGGCACTGAAAAGGGATTGCTATAGTGGATCCCTTCGCAAAGACCAGACTGAAATGCACTGAAACACGTTTACAAAGCACAGGTACGACTTTACGGGGGAAAAGGAGTTCGACTGACTGGAGGACCTGCTGGTAGTGCACTGGTTTTGCCTGAGTAAAGCCAGCTGCCCCTTAAAATAAATTACTTACCTGCCCCCCTATTGCTTCTCTTGCCCCACCTCTACCCACTATTATCTGTCCTTGTCCCTGGAGTCTCCACTGGGGCCAAGGCAGGGCAGAAGGTGATGTGCCATGAGGAGGAGGGTGACAAGATGGATTCAGCACAAAGTTGTTCTTTACATTTCCAGAATGTCATCTCAGCCTCCACTGCTATCCTCAGGTCCAGCACTTCATGGCCAGCCCCTCAGCTTGTTCCCCAGGATGCTGGGAGGAGTTCAGTTTGGAATGCAGTGGGGGAGAGGGAACAGCCTGGAGAAGGCCACTGAGACCTCCTAGAGGCTAGAGAACATCTAGGGGCAGGTAGAGACTTCAACAGCTGAGCCACTATCTCAACACCCAACCTGTGTGGCAAGGAACCTGGGTGCACCCATCAGCTCCATTCACTCCAACAGGGATTTGGGGACATAAGCATGTATGGTGAGCAAGAAGGGCTCATGTTTGCTCTTTGGTTTCCTATAGAG